TACTGGCATCATTAACGTTTCCAACCAAAGTTTTTCTTGTTTTTTTTGTAAATATAGCGATAATTCTCAAACCCAAATAACCATCTTATCTTTTACAACAAATCAAAAATCTTGACACAAAATAGCAAAACGAGGCATGTGAACAGAACAGAACGAAGTACATATATAAAAGAACAAAGAAATGGAAAGAGACACTGTACATGATTAGCATCCAACTGGGCCAAAAGTCTGTGCTTTGTACTCTGCAAGTCTTTCCTGACCTTATCTTTTTCTTCCTTTACTTGTTTCAGTTCAGCTTGTGTTTCTGAAAAACAAGATATCAGTTATTAGTGACTGAAGAACTGTTCAGAACATGTGGCTCATAAGAAACCATGCATTCTTATGTCATCAATATAAAATTCAACAATTTTACACAGTTTTAATCGTCTGAAATTGAGAAAACATGATAAGGCACGTCTTAACACATCACTCGCTGGATGATCAAAAACATGTGCCCCAACATGCATGTAAAAGCATGTTGTAGGGTAAGTTGACAGGAATGATTGCCATGAATTTTGTTTACAGGATGGAGAAATAAAAGTGACAAATTATGGCATTCCCACCAAAGTTTGACAGGAATATGATGCACACAAGTACAGTAAATACAGAATGACTGTGTTGGTAGTGATAGGAAATACACACCTTCCAGCTGCTGTTGTAGTGCTGTTACATCAGTATTTCTCAGCTGATTAAGCTCCTCGTTCTGCTCTTGCAAAGTTTTGTTATTTTCCTCCAACTGATGGGTTAATGTCTTGTGTTCCTCAAGCAGGTTTTGGAATTCTTTCATTAATTTCTGTTTATCTTGTTCCAAGTTTTGACCATCTTCCAACACTGCATTATATTGTTCTTTCAAATCCTTTATCTGCTGCTGGACATCCACTAAACACGCTTCTTTCTCTTTGACACCATTTTGGGATGCCTTCAGTTCTTTTTTCAGCTGTTGATTTATACTTTCCAGCTGGGATACTCTCCTTTCTACTTGTTCTACAACATTTTCCAATTCATTCTTCTTTGATCTCAGTTTGCGTAATTCTTCAAAATTTCTCCTGGGACTATCATTTGGTTCACTTACTTCATCACCAGAATACAATTGACTTTCAAGTTCTTCTATTCGCATCTGGTAATCCTCCAAGTCCTGTTTATGTCTCTTGGTTGCCATAGACATTTTCTGGGAGTGCACATCCTGTAATGTGGTTAGTTCATGTTGATGTTCATCAATCTCATTTGCAAGCCTTTTTTCCAAATCCTGTAAAGTAACAAGAACATGTTGTGAATCCTCTATGCTGATTGTCAATGAATGATAAATTGTAGGAAGGGAATGACTATCATTTTCTCATATAGTTAGTGCAAATAACATAGAAATCACCAACAAAATAATCACATATAAAATGTAAATAATTATTTTTGAATGCATAGCAGGTAGTCATATTCAGTAACTTATCAAATTCCATCATCACGAACACCATTATTTAAATCATAGAAGTAGGAAAATTTCATGGTTTTGCGACACTTAGTATTCTATTTAAGTGAATTAGCCACACCAACTCACCTTAACTTGACTTTTTAACATAGTTATTTCATCACTGTTGAGACTGATATCTGTACCACCCATCTGGAAAGTTGTCTAATGTAACACAGATTTAAGATTTATATTATTATGTGATCTTTGTTTTAGATTACATGTCCCACTGTGAAAACGCCTGATACTGAAACAGACATGCACTGCTGCACAATATTAGATTGTGTAGAGAATATTATAAGACAAAGAGACATTCCATGAACAAGTCAACTCTTGGTGTTTAGCTACATTAAGCAGGGATGAGTGAAAAGCTCTAAAGAAGTGAAGCTAGCAAGAACGAATGTAAATACCTGCTGCGTTGTTTGAGAATTTGAGAGTTGTTTCCAGTGTTCGCATTCTACTTGTACTCTTTGTAATTGATGAGATAACTTATTAATTTGGTATTGGGAAGATATAACGTCTTGGAAGTCTTCGTCATCAACACCGACATTTGAGGGTGTCAACATTGAGGTTGATGTACTTGTGTTTAAAGATGTAGCATTCAGCATAGTATCATGGAAATCTTGCATTGCATGATGTTTCTGCTTCAATTGTTTGATTTCATTCTGTAAATACAAGTCAACCAATTTTTATCATGACTGAGAGGCGGAGCAACGGATATTTACATCGCAAGTGTTTCCTAATTTTTGCATGACAGCATGAGTGTCCAAAACTACTGTACTAGTGAGTAAACAGGATGTCACACAACCTAGAAGATGCACCAGTGGAGTTACAACAGGGATGCTTCTTAAACACTGCAAAATGGAATAATATTTAAGTGGTGCATGTGATGATGCAAATTTGAAGTATCTGGAAAATATATCCTACTCACTTCTTTTTCCAGTAACATTTCTCGATACTGTGTAGACATGGTATTTATTTGTAGCTCAGATGATTCAGATTTCTCTTCCAATTCACCAATGATTGATTTCAACCTGTCCACCTGTCAGGAATACAAACAATTGAGCTTATTTTTATTAAAATATTTCATCTCATATTTCATGGCAGTTCAGTGTAATAATTTGTTACATCTCTATATATACTGTGTAATAATAATCCCAGCAATCTGATTGGTCTATGCAAGCAGATTGATATTTTGACATCTTTGCTGGGTAACACAAAATATAGCAATATATTACGATGTTGGAGCTTTTATTTCTTAAATTATTATTAAAAATTATATCAATTAGAATAATTCTGGTAGTTTCAGATGTTGACAAAACACCTGTGTGATATATTTGAGACACAATTTCAAATTCTCCCAACCTCAATTTTTCTGTGCACCATAAATACAGTGAGGGCTCCAAAAATAACTACATTTCAAATGAGTCAGAATGCTCTAAGATGTCTCGAATACGTGCTCACACATTATGATAACTGCATTAGTTTTAACCTTTAGAAGCTTTGAATTGGATACAAAGGATAAACGGGATATTAAATTTGTGACCCTGGAACATCAGATTTGTTTATTGTTCATTGTGGACCACATACAGGTGAAAAAGTGTGATAAAAATGATTGGAAATTTATTGAATGGGACTGGACGCTTATGAAATAAAACATTAAGCAGCACCAAGAGATGTTCAACTTTTTCCTTGAAGTTTGCTGCAGTTTCTTATCCTAGTATTCTCTAGTGTCTTTGAATGTAATAGAGGCTGATACGTACATGTACATTCAATCAAATCATGCATGCAAAAACAAAACCTGCTCTTGATGTACTGTTTGTACAGGTATTACCTCTGTTTTGTGAGCAATAACCTGAGCTTCTAGGTCATACGTCTTACGATGTGCCATTCTCAATTCTGTTGTGTGATCTGTAGAAAAAATAATTTTATGATTGTTCAGCAATTTTAATCAATATTTTTAGGTACACAATGTTGTCTCATTGTAACATTGTGGAAACAAAAAATGAATAGGAATGATTATGTATTAGTTTTTATACTGACACACCATTTTTAACAATCACTCTTACTCAAACTTGCCTGTATTTTACATGCAGACCCTACAATTTTTTTATAGTTAAACTGGAAAGTGGCCAGTGGAGGATGTACACAACATGCTCAACAATTTGTTGAAACATAAATGACAGTCTGTTACAATACTTATGAATATGCAATTCCTGATTTACATCATTTTACATGTACATTTTGTAGTGTAGAATACCAGTGCATAGTAGTCTTATCATAGTGACACCATATTTAGCTGGTGACAATGGTTAATATACAGTTTTGAGGGACTAGTTACTGCAGAAAGCATTAATGTTTTTTCACTGTTGCGCAACTAACAACTAGCTTATCCAACAAAAAGTCAATATGCCAGAAAAATATGAGCAAATCACACCCACCCATGTCGCTAAAATACGCCTAACGACCTGACATGACCAAGAAGTTCAATCATTCAGACACTATTTCAAATAAAAGTAGTTCAAGGCACACAGACATCTCACAATTTACAGTCAAACTTTTCATAAGAAATTTGCTACAGTTGTGGTTGAGTAGCATTGATGTTAAAGTATGGAGAGTATTCTTATTAAGGCATCACTCTGGTTTAGGCATCAAACAAGAGTGAAAGGCCTTGATTCTAAAATAAACTTCACAAACTTGAAAAATTTATATGCCATACATGTAGCTGTACAATAAAGTTAGCAAAACAGACACGTAAATTGCAACATTGCCCAGTGGAAAATTATCACCATGATTGTAATTGACTTCACTTTTTTTGTATTTCAAATGCTTCTCTAACCATATGTCCATTTGAAGTGGTTTAGCAAAAGTGTTGAGTGATAAGTCGATACAATGAAAAAATTAGTTTTGGAATGACTCCTCACTTATGTATGTGCTGCAGGCTTAGCTTTCAAAATCCGACCTTGTGGTTGACCGGGTCACCTGTATAATAGTAATTCCCTAGCATGCGAGGACAGTTGTAAAACGCATCATCCACTCATAAAAAGTATAGTCCAAATTTTTAATAGTTTAAATTCAATAGTTTAAGCAAGAAAAATAAATACCAGGCGGCTTCATAATTATTTCAAATATAATGATGAATCAAAATTCTAGAAAGGTTTTTTTTTTTTTTGCAATCATTAAAATGAAACTCAGTTCGCAATAAATGTAAACTTCATACAATATTCAGCATCTGGTTGTGTATTTCGTGCCTGATACGGGTAACATCGGAAGTTAATATTGCATGTCACTTGTCGTTATATCAGACACATAATACAACTACAGATTGGACACTTACCACTCACTTCCTCTGTGCCCTCCGTCAGTACATCTTTCGCATAGTCTGATAGTTGGCCTGTTATATTTTTGAAATTATCGCGAAAGTTATCCCCAAACCAAGCCATTTTTAAAAATTCAGTATAGAATAATGGCCCACAATTCCAATCAGCGTGTTTCTATATGCATTACCGAAGAATATACGCAAACTTATCTTACTTTCTAGCAAACCATACACAATTTTGCCAACTCGACGGCCGCCATGTTATGCAAATTAGATTAATCGCCCTAGGTCACTTTAAATTTTATCATAAGACCCTCTAACTTGTGTGAAATGGAACGAGCACAGAAAACGCCCAGAGAAAATGTTATAAAACTATTTGCATGTACAATGTAATAATATTTTTGTTCGGGTTTATAACATTAATACCAGCTCTGTGTTTATGTCTTTTAGCTTTTTTTTATAACATAAAATTGTTATTAATTTTTCAAAATTAGCTCCAAAACAGAGAAAATTATACATGCCTTTTCTTATGGGAATGAATTACGAATTAAATAAATTTGAAAAAATTTATTATAGGATTTTTATTTATTTCTTCATCTACAACTCACTCGTACAGTGAAAGGAATAAGGTTGGAATAATATAAATTGTTTTATTATACTGAATTTAAAATCCAAATGACTGGTAAAATTTAAATTGACCAATCCAGAAATGATATATTATTAATATTAACGAATTAGTTCAACACCATCCAATCATCAAGTGCTTCTTTTTGAATCAGTGGGCAGTTGCAACTGGTATATCACTTGAAATTTTGCACATGCATTATGGTCGTAGCCAATCATTATTAAAAATTTTAATTTAAATGAAAGCAGCTGATGATCGGTATTTACATATTGTAATAGATAGCTTTATAAAATAAGGTACTGCTTTCTGCCTTTCACTATACTAAATTTATAAAAGCATCAAGAGAATACTTTTCAAAATATTTATTGTGTTCCAGTAAATTTGTTTTCATATCCCCATACCTGTAAAATGAAAATATGAATACATCTACATATTAGTTTCAAAATTTTGATAGATAACATGATCAAAGGGATCTTTTCATCTCCATACACAAGTTTCGAGAAACCTGGGTAATTTACCTCTGCCTCTGGACATCATAGCTACCGGTACCGTACTTTACATCAACAGAAAAAGCATGTGTTGCAGTTAAAATTACATCAGGCAAATGTTAAAGCAAGGGAGTCTTCACCTCCGCATGTGTCAGGTGACCATAGCTTGTCACTGTTTACAAGCGTCTACCCATGAGCCTTTGCATTTTAAGCACGTGTTATCATTGCTTGGGAATAAATTCCTGTGCGTGTGCATGTGACGACCCTCCTGTTTTAAACACCCCCCCTGAAAACAACCTCTTGTGGAAGAAGTACACAATAGAAGCACATCACTGATTTCAGATTATGAATTGTGATGTACGATTACGCATGTATCACTTTGACCCTTGAAATCTATATAGCTGTGTTCAGTACAAAAAATGAGTGAGACAACTTTTGTCATTTAAAAAATATTCCATTCATTTCATCCAGAGTTTTCTAGTGGTATGTAACTGTGGTATTTTGAACAGTGGATGAGATTAGAGTGAATAGAACACTATTTGAGTAGCTCAAACAAGTCTTGTAGTTCTCACTTTCAACAAGATCTCAGCAACAATTTCATCTAAGGTGTATTAGGGCTCAACATCAATAAAATGACACTGTATCAACAAAACACTTCAATTTAATTACCAAAACCAGTAATGATAAAAGTACAGTAATGTAAATGTCTCAATAATGCACACTGTAGGTTAAACAATAGGTTAAAACTTCATGTGTACAGAATAAGTTATTCAGAAAGTATATAATATTTTATACTAACAAATTTTTTTTATACTGAAAATACCAACATAGCTTCATGACACACATCTGTTTACCTGCTGTCACTTGTGTTTCAATGACAAGGATCCATTTCAAAATATATCATAGGATTTTTACATACTTATTTATATAATAATAAATTTCCAAGAGTTATTGGCGTATTACCGTATATTTGAGTAGAAATTTCTAGTTACCGGGTATGTGGGAGTAAGTGCAAATTGTTTTTCACTATAGTCTATGTTTATATACTAC